AAGAGAGTTTTTGCTCTCACCATCATCACCGCCTCCGTGACCAGATCGATTAAGCCTTCGTGTAGTTTCAAACCCAGAGCGAAGAGGGTGAGCCACTCGGTTGCATTGTTCATGATTTGGTTTTTTTTTTCTCGTTGTTTATGTTTTAGGAAAAGAAGATTACATGCAAAGGGTCAGAACAAGTAAAGAAAAGCTCGCACGACAAAAAATGGCGCCGCCGGCCATTTTAAGGAAGAAGAAATGGGTTAAAAAAAACCCTAGTGAAGACAACACAGCCCCCTCCTACTTTTATCTGTGTTTTTTATTTTTTATTTTATTTTCTTTTTTCTTTTTCTTTATCCATTGAAGTAGCTTTTAGCTTTGTTTTAATTATGGTTAGTGATCGTGATTAATTATTTTAATTGTAATTAAACTTAAAACGTTTTGTATTAAAACTTAAAACATTTTTTTCATTATTAAAACTTAAAACATTTTTTTTCATTATTAAAACTTAAAACATTTTTCATAATTCAAATTCAAACATTTTTTTCATATCAGAATTAAAATATTTCATTAACATTAAAGTTAAAATAATTTTTCTTAAATTAAATAAAATTAAAGCAAACTTCTTAATTAAAACCTTAAAACAAAATTTTTTCTTTATTAAAACCTTAAAAATCAAAACAAAAATTTTTCTTTATTAAAACAAGTTTCTTTTTTTATTAACAAAAAAATGCCAAAATAAAGAGCTCTTGGATTTAGGTCGTTTTAATTTTCATCTAACAATCACTTGATCCTTATTCATCTCTGCATACTAATCCATGAATTTTATTTATATTTCAATTTGTTGGTTTGTAATTACGAGAGGCTATCGTCGCCTTATTCTGTTTTTATGGTTTGTAATCATGCGAGTAATCGTCGCAGTTAGTTATTTTTGCGTTTTTTAGGATTTGTAATTTACGCAGTGATCGTCGCAACGCTTTTCTTTACCTGCTTTCTTTATTTTCGTACTTTAATTCCGTCATATAATAACTCTTCGTCGTTTGCATCAGTTACTGTCAGTGTCCATTCTGAAGGATTAGGTCTAAACCGTTGGACCGTCGAGTCAATAGTCCTAACCCTCGACCGTTGCAAAACCCTAATAGCCTAGGTGTCTCATCATGGACGAAAATGCCCTTTACCCTAGTATTAGGTCAAAGAGTCGTCGTACTCTATTTTAGGGTTTCCCGCCATGGAACATTTAGTCAACCCTAATTTCAATTAACAATTTCAACGTAAAAATAGGAGTCTCAGAACTCCACGTAAGCATTTCCTTAAGAAATGTTTACTCCCCATTGAAACCTTGACCGCAGTCAAGATGTTTCTAACGTCCCTTTCAAGGGGAACTACAATTACTCTGATTCCATTCCCTATCCAAGATATGTAGGCACAAGATGCGAATCTTGTCGAGTAAACTTAGGACTAACCCCTTAGGTCTTTCAGTCACTCTAACCCTTAGCTCAGTATATATCCTTAAAGCAAATAATTAATCAAAAAGCATACTTTAAACAAAAGGTTCCTGTAGAGTACTACATAAGTTTAGGGTGCTAGTACCTTCCCTAAGCTTAACCAACCCCTTACCTAGAGCTCTCCCTGCATTTTCTACGATGAAAAAAATAGGTTTTCCTTCTTTTGACCTTTTCCTTCGGATAAATCAAAGTCGGTTGTGAATCAAAAATTGTGATTCAAACTAATTAATAGTTTGATATCCTATTTCCACCGCAACAAGCTATAACTTTCTTCGGACGGGAAAACTTTGTTGCGAGAACATGGACTTCAACACAAGGAAGTGGTGTAGTAGGAAGATAAATGCCTATCTCTTTGATGGAGTAAACCGGAAGATATCTGTCATCTTCTGAATCCAAAATGATGCTTCATCAGACGAAGAGTCTTGAAGGGCAAAAATTGTTTCTTCATCAGCAGAGCTTTATTCAGAATACAAAGATTCTAAGTCTCCTTCTAGAGGCTGAAGATAGTTGACCAATTTTGGGGCTTTATGGATGTTGTTAGGACATTCTTTTGAGAAATGCCCTTTTCCCCACAAATAAAGCATCTCTGATTTTTCCCCTTTCCTCTTAAATGCTTTTTTCTAAAGAACTTCATATTCTTTCTTTTCTTTCCCTTGAAGGTCCTGTGAGATTTGGTGTATTTTTTATGTTTCTCTTTTGTTGGACAACCACACCTTTTGTCTTTACACTTAATCTCCAGGTAGGGTTTCTTACATGCTTAGGTGAACTTTGACTTTTATTCTATAACTTCAGAAAATTGATGATGAAAACTGCAAAGCTTTTCAAGTGCTTCTAATGTCACCTGGTGAATATGGAAAAGTCTCATGGTTTTAATATCCTTTTAAGTTGTGGCTAACATTCTATGAATTTCTGGATGAAGTTCTTGTGGTAGAGAGGATACATAGGTATTCTTGAGACTAGGGTCATTGTACCCATTAAGGACATAATACCTCCGTGCCATCCTATGATAGTGTTTGTCGAGGTCTTTTATTTTGAGAGAACAACACTTCATCTCAAAGAATTCTTGTCTGCTTTTCCTATCAAATATTTCCATATCACCGATAAATTCTCGGTGAAGAACCCCAAGAACACTAGCTGTAGTTTCTAGATGATGTAAATCATCTTGTTTGAAAGCTCCAAGATTGTGATACCATTCTCTGATCGTGCCCGTCATTCTACAGCAAATTTCTTCAATGATCTTATAGCTATCTGCACTTGTTTTCATGATTTGGGTGTCAAGCCAAGCTCTAAATTCAAGTAGTCTTTTTCTCCAAGGGCTAGGTGGTATATCATCAAAAGTGAACCAAGGACCTCCATTTGGATTAGTCCTTTCAGGGGCAAGAGTTTCTTCAAGGGATTCTTCTTCAAAAAAGGATTCTTCCTCTTTTACATTTGCCATGAAGAGTCTTGGGAAATAGTTGCCTTCAGATCCCGATTTAGTTGAAAAAGATCTCGGTGTCTCATCAGAAGATGATTCTGGACCAGAGTTGTTGTCACCATCTGAGAAGGACTTGTCTCCCTTTTGTTTTGATGAGTCAGAGTGATATTTCCAAGGAGATTCATAATTTGTAGTGATTGCCATGGCTTGGAAACCTTTATTAGGAATTTCTTCTTCCTTTTGGATTTTTGGAGGGGGTGTTTCAGGGATATCTTGAGAGTCTGAGGATGAAGTGCTCAAGCAGTCAACTTTCCCCTTTGTCTTGGAGGTTGAGGTAGTGGTAGTTCTGGAAGATTTTGGTCTGTAAGCTGTTGGTATGTATTTAACCTGGTCTGATGGTGATGAGACATAGGCGGGTAGAAAGGTGAAGGCCTTTCTAGTCGTTTGAAATATGTAGGAAAAGCAGGAGGATCAAAGAAAGAGTTTTCAACAGGTTTGGACTTTCTTTCATGAGAGGCTCTTAAGAAATCATATATCTCTTTTACTTGACTTTGTAGACTTCTGATTTCTCTTTCCTTTTGGTCAAATGTTTTACCAAAATCTCTCTCTTCTAACATCTTCCGCAAATCCCGATCTAGTTGGGATACTTGGGCTTTCAAGCTTCTGTAATGTTTTTGCATTTTTTGGGATAAAACCTTGAGATTTTCATCTTTTTCATCTATTTTTCTGCAATCTTATCTATCTTTTTGTCAAGGCTTTGAAGAATTTCATTTTGAGAAACCATGTTTTCAGATTGCCAATTCAGAACTTCCTCAACCTGAGTTAAAGGTTTAAGCTTCCCATCGGGATGGACTTCACTCAGATGAATGAAGGGTTTGGATGTTCTGCCTGTGATTGGATCCATCTTTCTTTCCAAAGCAGGAATTGGCTGAGCAACAGCTGAAGGATGTAGCGGTTTACAATGGTCTGTTGGTGACCATGTAATAAGAGTCGGATCATCAGGTGGTAACAATCCTTCTCTCCTGAGGATTTTAAGTCCTTCCTCGTATATACATAGGGGTTTCTTTTTTCCATGGATTCCTACCCATGGACCATTGTCTGGATCAAATCTCCTTTGAGGAGGTGGAGGGTTTACACCTTCCCTTTTTCTTTGTTTTGGGAAGAATGATATCTCGACCAATATCATCGTCGTGCATCCAACAGTCCCAATCTAGGTCATATCTTGTTGGAACAACATCCCAAATGAAGTGGCCATCTATTTTATCGGTGTAGATGGGTTTTCTCTTTATTGTAACAGCATAGACAGGACACCAATCTTCTTTGAGAACTGGTTGGATAATCATTATCTGGAAGATCAGAGATATTGAGCTCGACCCTTCGTTTGGCTTCTTAAAGATCGTCTTGACTGTCTTGCTAACGAATCTCTTGAAAGTAGCCTCTTAAGATTGGATAGGTCTTTTGTCAACATGAAGTTTCTCATAGTTGGTTATCCATTCAAGGGGAATTAGCTGAGTAAATTCTTCCCTTGTGATCTTTCTTGGAATCTGAACTATGGAGGGTATGTCTTATTCTCTATTGGTGACAACCAATAGCGAATCAGAAGAGCATCCTGAGAGAGGAAGATCTATCGAGTGATTTTGTAAGCGGTATATTATTTAGTGATGGAGGGTGGTTGACATAGCTTCTGGCACTTGGTCAGATCCGGTGATTTGGATCTGTACTTTCAGTCTTGTGGATAAAGTATTATCATTAAGACGCACGTTATAGTTTGGGAAGATGGTGAGGAAAACACTTCCTGCATGAAGTGTAGTTAGAACAGTTCCTATCACAACATTTTCATAGTGGAGGTAGCTGGAGTCAAGTAGAGCTATTTTGCAAAAGACGGGTTGGTTCTTCCTTCCATGAAGAGAAAGGATGAGTCTGACATTCCCAAAGTGTAAGGTTGTATATCCTTTAGTTTTCCAGTGGTTTATGAGATATTAGGGAATCTCCAGATCTACGTACTGCTCCTGGTTTGTAGCTCTTAGGCTGCATTGGTCTAGTCTAGATGACTGGACGTATTCTTTCATATGAGGGCGATTTGTAGAGATAAGATTTCAGATGGATCTGGTAACACTTCTTTGTCTTTTGAAGATGTTGTACGGACTTAACAGAGGAGGTATTGTTTCAAAAATTTGAGCATCTTCAGGAACATGAGAGTACTCAATAAAGTTTTCTATTTTATGAGAATTAGTCTTTTTATAGAGTTTAGGAAGTGGTAAAGAAGAAGTAGTAGTAATAGGTTGAGTGTTTGGTTCAGGTGTTTCCATGTTTAAGTGATTTCTCCCTTACTCACTCTCTTTATTATATTCATACCATATGCACCCCTTCTTTCTGTACAGGCTCTAATACCACACTGTCCGGGAGCCTTACATGCCATGAAACCTAATCTTAACTGTATCATCCTCAAATAGCCAACCATAGGCATAACACTGACTAACAATTAAAACTGAAATAATATTCAAATAATAAAAAAACAATAAAGTTGAAATGAAGTGTACAACTATTTTTTTTTAATATATGTAATATAGATATTATTGTATTAAGTTTGTAATGGATTTTTGAAATATTTATTTTATTAAGCTGTGAACATATGATTATGTGTGACATATCTATGAAATTTAATTTCATACTATTAGTTTATTTAATAAACGGTACGACCATGGATTTAACCGGTTGAACCAATTGAACCTTAAATTAGAAGTTTACCCGGTCTGATCTCCAGTCCGATTTTTAAAATATTGCTCAAAGATAACGGGTTAAAATCATGATTGAGACTTATTTTTTGGATTTATTTGTTAAGATTGATAAAATAAATTGCAGAAAACTGTGGTTTAGAACCAAAGACCCCTTAGCTACGGGTGCAGAGACAAAAAGGGTCACCACTAGGCCAAGGTAATGTTTCATGACATTATTGAATGCTATGAATATATAATTATTCCATAATGGTTATTTTGAAACTTTATTTCTCCTCACCAATTGGTACAAATTTTTATATAAATATAGATAGTTATTAGGCATTAAAATATACGAAAATAATATATTTCAGAGTCAAAATTTTATATCTAAGTCATTTCTTTATTTTTCTAGTGCACGAGAATAAATGAAGGAACTTTATTCTGTAAAATGTTGTTGACCGATGTGCTTAATGTGAATGTGCGATTCATGTTAAGGTTTCCAAAGTATCTTGAAGGAAATTCGTCGGATTACCCATTTGCATCCAATTTGTCTAAGTTGGTGGGAGCAAATTGAACCTAAAGCTTAGTGTAAATACACGGTTTGAAATTTATTTTGTGCAACTTTCATCATAACATCTTCATCTTCTTATTATTCAAATTTTGCATCAGACCCCCGACACAAAGTCTAACAATCTTTAGGTCCAGTTTTTGATTTTGATTCATACTTTATTTATAATTAATATTAAAATATGAAACTTTAAAGAAGATGATAACAATTTTCAATGATGGTGAAATAAATGAAAACTCATGCTTCCTATTCATTACTATGGTGAAAGATATATAATTATATTAAATAAATATGTCATTATGATGTTTTAAATTCATGTAAAATATATTGAAAATAATATTATTTATGTCAATTTTAACATGTGCCGTAAATTTATGGATGAAATGATTTGATAAAAAAAAAATCATGAATTTGAATTTATAATGCATGTATTAGTAACATAAAATGATGAAAATAAAATGTTGAAAACATCAAGAACATGTTTAATTTGTATATTTTATTTATGCAAAAATTTATTATATTTAAAATGATTTATCTCATATTATATGTATATCATAATATGAAAATATTATTTCTTGTTCATCTTGATATTAAAAGTAATTTGAGTATATTTTAGATTATTGTAAGTTGACAAATATTTACAAAAAAAATTAAAGAAAATATTAATGATGTGAATTCATTATTTATTTTGTATTGTGTTTTTTATTTGGATATACCATAGAACATTGTTAAATGTGAAACCTGAACTTATCACATATAATTTGTTATGCATATGTTAGTTATACAAGAAAATTGTTTAATTTAAAAGAATAGAAATAAGTTCAATGATGCTATATTTATATGGAGTTTATGAATTACATATTTGAACCCACTTCATGAAATAAAAGTTAGTCATAACAAATTTGTATGATCATGATTGTTGATTGCTATAAATGTTTAATGCATTAAATATATTTTGGATATATTTAAGTGGAAGTAAAACTTCAAATTAAAAGGTTAGCAAATGAAGAATGACATAAAATTTGTGTATATGATAAAATAAATGACAAAAGTATCATGGTTTGATGATAGATGGTAAACACTATCAACATTATATAAAGTAATCATATGTATGATTAGTTGAAAAATTGAATATTCAAAGTTTATTAAAGATTGGAAAATCTTGCAATTATTTGACAAAAGAATTGACAAAGATATGATGTCTTTGGATATAATTGAAGACAATGAAGATATCATTAGGGATGTGGAACAAACTCATATCTAACTAATCATCGATAGTGGAAACTCAACTCACACTTAATTAACATTAAGTCTTGAGTTCAATGATGAAAGTACACTATTAGAGTAGTACTTGTAATACCCAAATTTTTAACCCTAAGATCCCACATGCCATTTACATCATGCATCACAAACAAGATCACCGGCTTTGGTTCCCTTACCCTTCTCTGTAGGTTTGCTTCCGAGGGAGATCACCAAACACCCCTGTGTGTTTCTTATTTACTTTTATTGTTTATGTTTACTTCACCCTAATCAAAATCAATTTTTTGTTTTGTTTTTCCTTTTATTAACCTTCTCAGAAGAAAGTTTGGATCAAGAACATCAAATACTAGTTTCTCAGCTTAAATGAAATTCGTCTGAACAAAGTCAAAGTCGATCTGCAAACAATTCAAAATCATTTGATCAAGAGTTTCCCAAGTTTCATTTGTTTATTGCTCAAGAGACTCTAAGGTTCATGTGTTTATTTCCATACCTTCTTTGACAAGTCAAAAGAATTGAGTTAGAGCCAAGACAACACAATAAAAAGCCATTTTTCTCATTTTTCACCATGTTAATCGATTAACCAAAATATGCTTAAAATTAGTTAATCGATTAACACATGGGTTTTTGGCTAAAAACAAAATTTTCAAATTCTGCATCATTTTGGCACCAAAATTCACTTGTTTCATCTTGAGAATATTCTAGATCACCTCATTTTAATTCCCCTACATAATCACAATTATTCCCATCATACACCCTCATTAATCACCACTTGATCTTAAATTTTGCTTTTAATCCAATTTCCAAGCCTAGATTAAATTCTAATCCAAATTCCAAACCACCAAAATTCCCAAGCCTAAATTCTATAAATAGAGCTCTCATTTCATTCATTCTTCAAATTTTTGATAGCCAGATTCACCTTATCAAAATTCTTCCTCATTCTCAATTTTTTTTATCTACCCAAATTCACCAAAGCTCTTTATTCCATTAAAAGTTAGTAATCTTTTCATTTTCAGATTTTGAAGTGGTAAAATTTTGTTCCACCATTGTTGTGCTTGATTCATCTTCCACAATGTGATCTTTTGTTGGTTAATCTTTGGATCTTGCAAATTGTGTTTCATTGGTGTTATTTGTTGTTATTTTACTTGAATTTTCGTGCTCAATTGAATTCGTGATCATGAGATGTTTTAAGAAACTATTGAATCATGAAATGTTGTTTTTTTTCAATTTTTTTTGCTGTCCTGCCAGTGTTAATGGATTAACCAAAATCTGCCTAAAATTGGTCAATCAATTAACACAAGTCAGAATGTGTTTTTTAGCTTGTTTTGGGACTGTTTTGAGTTCTTTTCTTCCTTCTTCCATTTCCTTTTGTTTTGCCTTGAATTGTGGTATTTATTGATCAAATTTTGTCTTTAAATTTCATGGACTTTGGGTGTTTGATGTTGGATAAACCTTCATTATTTAAAATCTATCTTTAAGTGGATCATTGGATTCATTTTAGGTGCTTTGAATTAGTGATAGGTTTAGTACCATAATCCATCAAGAAGAGTGATGGAGCTTAAAGATGGAATGAGTCAAATATTGTAATTCAATTTGGCTTCCCTTCCCATCTTTTTCTTCTTCTTTTGGTTAATGAAAATCTCACATATCATTAGACTTCTCTTTGAAGTTATGATCAACATGAGACCACTACCTCTTTTCTTTTAGTGTGACAAGTTTTAGGAGAATGACCTACATGTCATTTCTCTAACTTGTATTAACACAAACATTGATATTGACCGGTCTCATATAGTCGTGGCTTCTACATAAGTCCGATTACGATTGCTTAACATAGCTCTAAATTGTCCCTAAATCGGAATCGAGTTGTTCTTTGTAAGCGAGTTATCAATATCTATTAGCTATATTGTGGTGTGAGATATATTATTTCCTTGTCGTTAAGGGATTTAGTTGACATACTCGTCGATTTTATCCGAGTTGAAGCCCTTCCCTTAATGATGTATGGATTCATGTTCTCAGGCTTATGGTTGATTAGTCGAGTATTCTCCAAAAAATAACCAATTGTTCTCCATCATTAACATTAACTTACTAATAATAATTGCACTAACTTTTACTTTATGCCATTTATTTTTTGCTCTGTAGTTTCTTGTCATTTATTTTTATACTTTTACATTTAGCATTTCATCTTTATGATCTTATTTTCTCTTTGTCCATTTGGACCTTTATTTATGCTTTTACTCTTGTTCTCTTTACCTATTTGGACCATACTCCTCTTAAGACATTAATAAGTACTTAAACACTAAAAGACACGACTCTTCAAATCTGGATTGTTATGACATTATGCTTGGACTTTGTGACTCGAATGTCGGACTTAGTTCTAGGATCCTTGCCCTTTGCTCTTGGAGATTTGAGACCTTCGACCTTGGTGTTTTTTTTGTCTATTTGTTTGAGAAATTTTCTGTGTGCAGGTGTTGATATTTTGACATTATGAAAATCATCTGATACATGACTCTCCTAATTGACTTTCAATCCTTGAGAAGACCTCGCTTTGACTTGGTCATGGCTTAATTTGGGATCTTCTTAGATGCTTTATTTCATCTGGCTATTATGCTTGTGGTTTGAATCCAAAAAAAAGAAGAGGATTGCTTATGTTGACTTCTTGTCTAGTGTTAGCTCCTTGTGTGGTTAGATCTTCCCATCTATAACTTTTATTTTAATTTTTAGGGTAGTCACTTCTTCTCCACCCCTTCTTCAATTTTCAAAATCTTCT